GGCATCGGTTGCCGAATTTGGAAATTTAGAAGTTCTTAGGCTTGAATCTGAGGGTAATTTGATAAATTTATGTTGTTTTGAGTGATTCAAAGGTTCGACCAAGTTGGTATGTTGATATATGACTTGTTGGTATTTTTGGTTGAGGTCCTGAGGGCCTCAGGGTGATTCCGGGTGGTTAACGGATTTGTCGAAGTTGGAAATGCAGCTGAAGCTGCTGCTACTGCTATTTTCGCACCTGCGGAAGAAAGAGTCGCATGTGCGAGGCCGCTGGTGTGCGTGGGGAGTGCGCAGGTGCGGGAAATGCTGGGCTAGGCAGGTTGCGCAGGTGCGAGTTGGAGGTCGCATCTACGAGCCCGCAGGTGCGAAACCTGGGGCGCAGATGTGGAAAGGGGGATGCTGGGCAGGTTTCGCAGAAGCGGAGGAAACGCGCAGGTGCGCCTCCGCAGGCGCGGGGTTTTGGGCCGCAAATGCGGAAGCTGGGCTCCTAAGTAAGTTCCGCACCTGTGATGGATTTTTCTGTAGGTGCGGTGGCGCGGAAGCGTGAAATTTTTCGCAGGTGCGAAAAACCTGGGCAGAAATCATAAATAGAACCCTTCGCGAATTTGGTTCATTTCCACCATTTTCAAGTCGGTTTTTGGAGCTTTTGGAGTGATTTTTGAAGGGTGATTCAAGGGCTATCAGTGAGGTAAGTTGCTTGAGCCCTAATACTCCTATATATGGTGATTTCCCGTTGTTTAATCATGTAATTAGTGAAAATGAGGGGTTAGGGCTTGGAATTTTTGGAGAGTAATTTAAGGATTTGAAGGACCAAACGTTGTCGGATTATGATGAATTTGGTATGGTTAAACTCGTGAGTGAATGAGCTTTCTAGTTTTGTAAATTTTGTCGGATTTCGAGACGTGGGCTCGGGGGCCGGGTTTGAGCTAATTTCGGATTTTGGTCTAATTTTGTAGCTTTTCTTGTGGAATTCATTCCATTAGCGTATATTGATGGCATTGTACTGATGATGAATATATTTGGAGCATTTGGAGGCCGAGTCTAGAGGCAAGAGCATTGCGGGGTAGAGATTTGACCAGTTTGAGGTAAGTAACGATTATAAATCAAGTCCTGAGGGTATGAAACCCCGGATTTTGTATCATTCTACTATTTTTAGTGACGCACATGCTAGGTGACGGGCGTGTGGGCGTGCACTGTTGGGGATTGTGACTTGATCCGTCCCGTAGCAACTGTAAAGTTGCATACTTTGTTGAAACTATATGATACTTATATGTTTTAGAAAGAGTTTCTGTAAATTGGGCTGAATGCCATGTTTGGGCATTGTGCTTGTGCTGTTTGGACCCTTAGGGGCCTTTTCTTACTATCCTCTCATTGTTTTCGATTGAAAATCTATACTCAGTCATGGTTATACTTGTTTACTGCATAACTCAGTTTTATGACTCTATTTTGATCATATAAATGTTGTTTTGGGCCGAATGCCCTGTTTTTACTGAAATGCCCGAGTGGCTTGAGAGATTTATGACTGAGTGAGGCCGAGGGCCTTATTTGTGAGGATATTTATGGGATCGGGCTGCACGCCGCAACATGTTGCATATTTATGGTATCGGGCTGCACGCTGCAGCATGTTGCATATTTATGGGATCGGGCTGCACGCCGCAACATGTTTGATATAGGCCGAGGGCCTGAGTGGTTATGCCATGATGTGGCTTGATATAGCGCTTGGGCTGAAGGAGCCCCTCCGGAGTCTGTACACACCCTCAGTGACCGCATGTACCTACTGAGTGCGAGTGCCGAGTGCTGAGTGACTGGGAGGCATGCGTGATTGTGAGGTATGCCCGAGTGGCAAGAGTGATTGTGAGGTATGCCCGAGTGGCACGAGTGACTGTGAGGTTTGCCCGAGGGGCTGTATATGAGTGATGTTTTACCCGAGGGACTGTTTATGATTTCATCATTTTTGCTCACCTTTGCACTTTTCCTCTGTTTGAAAACTGTTGAAAAATATCTTTAAATGATTTTTACTGGAACTAGGTTTAAACGAGATGTTTTGATTTAAATTTCGTTGTTTAAAATGCATGTGGTATTTTACTGAGATTTCCTGATATGAACGTTATATGCTTTATTACTCGTCACTACTTCTCAGACTTTATTTATTGTTGTTACTTACTGAGTTGGCGTACTCACGTTACTCCCTGCACCTTGTGTGCAGATCTAGGTGTAGCTGGACACGGTAGCGGTTATTGATTGTTTTGAATGTAGATTTTCCCTGGGATAGCAAGGTAGCTGCCTGGTGATCGCAGCCCTACTCTTCTCCCTCTTATCTTCCTTTAGTTATATTTAGCTATTTTCCAGACTGAGTTAGTTTTGATATTGTTAGACAGATTGTAGTAGATGCTCATGACTAGTGACACCCCGATGTCGGGCTTTTTCTTTCGCACTTTTATTTTGATTGGAACTCCTTTACGAAGGTTTTTGTGTTAAATAACATTGAAATTATCTTTGAAATAAAAATATCGATTTGTTTTGGAAATGAGTCGGCTTGCCTAGTTCCACGATAGGCGCCATCACGACAGGGATTAGTTTGGGTCGTGACATAAGGAAACAAAAATTACAGCATCAACAGTTAATAAGCAGCAAAGTAATTTCATTACATAGAGGTAGATGCAAATATCATAAATTAGTATAAGTTGCCCCAAAATGAATTTGTCCCATGACCAACACAACTTGAAATTTCAATTATAAAACTAATAAGGGTCCATCCTTCCCCTGAAGATTTCAGCTGCAAAGTTTTCCCTGAACAACTTCATTCGCTTGTCATTAAGCTGATCCAACGGCGTATTAGTTAGCAGAAAGTCAATAACCTTCACTGCATATGCTCCACTGCTTTCACTACAATAAACAAAGGTACAATTAATTATTAAAGAAACTAGAAGAATGAGTAAAACATAATGGATGACATATTTAATTTACCTTTGCTGAATGGCTGGCACATCTATAATACGCTCCTAGGACCATTTCTTGGTAAGCACATCTTGGCCTAAGTCTGCAAATTGGCCAGTTTTCATCGAAATCCTAGGCATCATGAGTGCGAGGGGTTGTACCGGTTCTTGTAGTTTACCATCACCATACAAACTGATATTGCTATCGTAAATTCAAATCAAACCCTCCACCAAGTGAAAAACAAAAGGCACAAAATACTTGTTATCAATTTTCCACACACAGTACAATAGCTTAGCATTGCACCACCACTCTACAGCCCCATGTTTTGGCATACTTCCTTGAGGATATAGCATCAGGGGTGTAAGGCACAAGTCTTGACAAACATCAACTGTCTTACAAAAGTCCAAATCATTTTCCTCTTTACTGGCAACCTCCTTGATCTTATCCCATGCAGTGCACATGTTATTGCATAATGCAACATCCATAACAACATGACTATGGGCATAAAGGTGTGGGCATTTTATGTTTCGTATACGCATCAGTGCCAAAAGTTCCTCCACATGCTAAATATTATAAAAATTGTACGTTAAATATGGAGCTACTAAAAAAAAGAAATACACGCAGTGATTAAGGGACTTACAAAAATTAAAACGAACTTAACAGCGCACAACTGCTTGAAAAACCTCCAACCATAGCTTCCAGTCAAGAAGTTTTTGGGAAACTTCTCCTTCTTGTCAAACCATTTATAGAATAGTTTCTTATCTTCCTCCGAAATTGGTTTGAGTACGTCTACCTTTGGTTTCTTCTTCTTGCTCTGTTTCAACTTCCTCATCTAGCTTGCAGAAATTGAAGCATTCCTCAATCTGCTTTGCAATCTTGTAACTCCGTACCAAGGTACTCAACTACTTTAGAAGGGCTCTCATTCTAATTTTGCATCTCCCCAAGGATCTTCAACACCTTATCTAATTTCTCATTCACTACCTTCAACTCTTCGCGCACGTCTGTATCACTTGGCTGAGCATTGCACATCCTGCATGGTCCTTCTCTACCAATATTAGAAAAACCACCAACTAGTGGTGAACCAGGAATATTCTAGTGAGTACGTAATTTTTGCCCTAATGTCAAATTACTCCTAAAAATATTCCAAATTAGCTTTTAATTATTTTAGAAAGTTTTAGGAATTTTTCTATATTTTATTTGATTTTGTTTTGTGTGTATTTGTGTTTTGTGCAATTTTATTAGCATTTTAAAATCATCAAAATGACAAAATTATTTTATATTTTACTCTTTGTATTTTTAGATCTTAATCACATGTTAATTGCATTATTAAATACAAAATCACAAAAATAATAATTCATTAGTTATTTTGATTAATCAATTAGTATTAGTTTAATGATTCATAACTTAATTAATTAATTGTTAGACAAAGTAGGAATAGGTTAATTTTGCAATTTAAGTCTTACATATTATGTTAGTTAATTAGTGGTTAAAAATGAAAGAGAAGAAAAAAGGAGAAGGCGTTGTTTTGAGCTTCAAAACCGAACTGGGCCAACATTTAAATGGCCCAATTGCCAAATACTAGCCCCAGTCCACTTCAAAACTGGTCCAGCCTCTTCAACAACCAAACAATGTCGTCTTTCGCCTAAACAATCCTGGCCCTTCATCTTGTGCAATCCAACGGATGGGAACTCACCCCAATATCCCTTAAAATGGTTAGAACAGACCCCCCTACCCACCAAAACCCTTCCCAGAACCCCCCCTTTCTCGTCTCTCTCACTCACCGCCCAACGTCACCGCCGGAAATTGCCTACGGCGGCGGCCTAGCTCCAAACCACCAAAAAATATCACTCTATACTCCCTCTCCCTCCTCATTTCTAATATATTACCCATTTCCCTTAGAACCCTTCAGTTTTTGTTGAATAGAGGATTTAGGAAATACCCAAAACCCTAGTCCGCCCCCTTTCAATTTTTCACTAGTTTCAACACTCGATTTGACCTGGGACTTGCGTTGATCGATTGTTCTCAACGAGAATAATCGATTAACATTAGTTTCGGTTCATTTCAAAGATGTCGAAATCCGGTCAAACAACCGTTGACCGGTCATTTGCTCCCCAATCGTTCTGATGTTGTTTCTCCAGCGGGTCAAGGATCGTTTCTGTCGCTTACTTTGAGCTTAATAGGTATACTCCTTTTTCTTCTCCCTTTTCTATTGTTTTCAGCTTTTTGGCTCCTCATTCATCTTTGAATTTGGTCCGTCAATTAAGTCCAGTCATGCAGAATGAGGTTCTAGATGAATTAAGGTTTGCATATCGTCTTAATTGTCATTTTTCCGTTTTAATTAGTTGTTGATTCATAGTTCACTAATTGTTGGCTTAACTTTAGTTAATTGGTAATTTTGAATTAGTTAGTAATTACCTATGTTGAGTATTTATAGGTTTGCATAATCAATTGGACCACTTCCATGTTTAGTTGTCAAGTTTTGATTTGTTTGCTAGTTTGATAGACTTTCGAATTTGATGCTGAGTTTGCATATGTTCAGTCATTAAGAGTTTTGATTTTATTTTTAATAGTTTAATTGTTGTCTAAATATTAGTTTAAATTATTGGTTCAATGCAGAAATCCTGTTTCATAATTAGGGTAAGTGGTTTTAAACTGTTAAGGAGTTAAGAGAAAGAAAAGAAGGAAAGAGTAAATAACATGGGCCTAAGGGGATATGTTGGGAATTGACTAAAGGAATATTTTTTCTGTAGCTGTTTTAGAAGATTCTATAAGATAGAATAAGGGTCATTTTACAATTAAAAAATGAAAGGGGTTGGGCATTTGGGGCTGAGAGAGTAATACAAAAATAGAAAAGGGACTGAAAAAGAAAAGAAATAACAGAAGGCACAACTAGAAAATCTGTTATAAAAGATGCCCTCCCTACACACTACTCATGGACTCTCATAAACTCTCACCCTTCACCCATGCAATACTTCCCTGAAAGAAAAGCTGAGAACAAAATTCTGAAATTCAGAATTGAATTCTCGATCTTGAAATCCAAAACTTCCAAAACCGTAAAAAAAAAAAACAAAAGAGTTTAGAAGTTGTTTCTAAGATTTTGCTGGTTCTCTTCAATAACTTCTGGTTTCTCAAGTTAATTTTGGACTGGAAATTGAGGTTTACTATGTGGTCTACTGCTTATTAGTTGCTATTTGTTGCTGCTTATCAATCTGTAGCTGAGCTTTTAGTTCTGGTTTTTATTTCTTCTCCAGAAATAAGAGATCTATTTTCTTTTGTGTGTTTTGCTGTTAACCAGGTATCCTCTGATCAAATGTCCTAAACCTTATTTGTTTGAATGAGAATAGTATAAATTTGTTCATGTTTTGTTAGTTTCATTGCTGCCAAATTGATTGATATTCCCTATGTTACATCATGTTCTATCGATAAGTGTAAATGTTATTCCGTGAGAATTGTTGTTGTAATTTCTGTGGTTGTCAACAGTTTAATGTGTTAATATACTGAAATGAGATCATTGTTGCATAAACGATCATTTTACTCTCTGCCTGGAATAAAAAAATCTTGCTGTTTATTGGTGATGAAGGAAGTTGTTGGCACTGACTACACGACTGTAATTTGCAGACCTGACCACTAATTGGTCAGGTCAGTGAATTTTGACGCCAAAGAGTGGGATGGAGGTTCAAGCTGAAAGCAAAATATATTTTGCTTTAGGCTCAATATTATCCTAACTGATTTATGCATGTATTAGAAAGCTTTATGCCATGTTATCATTATTGAGAATTGTAATTGAAATGACCACTACTGTAAACACCAGAATCTGGTAGTCTCGAGGTTTGAATGCCAGCTTTGCTATTTGATATTCGTATAATTGACTTTTCTGCTCATATGCAAATCTGAATTTAGTTTAAAGTATTAATCTGCACAAAAGGTGGCTAACTTTACGATGGCATGTTTGGCCATGTATTGTGATTGAGTTTATTGGCCTTGCTAATTGTGCCTGCCAGCAAGCTTTGGAGTTCGCTAGGCACTGAATTTTCTTTTGTCATACGAAATTGGGCTTCAAATTAAGGCCACTTGTTTGTACATGACCTGTTTGGAATTTTGAACGAAATTAAGCTTGACCCATGGCACTGTTGCTAATTGTTAGGTTGACTTCTGTTAGTGGCTCTAAAAAGACGTATATAGGGATATAGACAACAACTCAGTTCACCCCTTTAATTGGCCACCTCCTCGACTCATGAAAGCTTGAATTGAACCAAGTAGCAGATGTGCCCAAAACGATGTTAGTCATATCAATTAGACTCCTCTCCACTTGTAGATACTCCACCCGTAAATCAGCTTACAACTTGTAAATACGCACCCTAAATATCGTATTTAGGAAATAATCCATTTATGAATATTCATAGAATGCTTTAGGCACGCATTTAATTTAATATCGTGATTATGTATTCGCGTGACATAATTATGATTCCCAACATAAATCAAAGTATGCGTTCGCGCGACTTTGGCAGAACAATCTTAACAAATAATTAAGTGTTATGGATTGTGTACACGTACACGTGACATAAATTTGGCACCTACACAAAACAGATTCACCCACATGTGATTCGTTTCAAAGATAATTCCTTAACTCCATAATAAGTAATTTAGATATGGTAAAAGATTAAAATGCACATGGGTTCTAAAATACGTAATAATCAAATTAATAATCCAAGTGTAGATTGTAAAGCGCAAAATTTGACGAGCTTGAAACACACACTTAAATATGCTCGCTAGTCGAATATAGTATAATATAATATCGTATCCACAGAGATTGGAGTTAAACAGTATTATCGTAGTTTGTAGCTAGATTGCTATCCAAGATGATTAACAATTTAGATTTATGTGATTAATAACTAAAATTAACTAAGAATTTAAAGCTAATTAACTAATGACAATCGAAGCAAAGGTAAGCAAGGAAGTTATCCGTGGGAAAAAATAGGGGTTGATTCGATAGGTGCAAGGTAATTGTTGGGATTTAACTCTAGTTAATTCACTTCTAATGTTCAAGTGAGTTTCTCGAATTCACTCAATTATTAGTTCAAACGTTTAGCAGAAACTCCTCTCTCGATTAAGTCTCAACCTTACAATAAGAAACAATTTATGCTCGGTGAAGATATGCACGACTTCGTAGTGGATTGGTCTTTAGGAGAACCTCTTTCGATTATCTTCCTAACTAGGTTTAATCAACAATTCAACTCGCCTCTTTCGATTACTAAGAGGAATTAATGAATTCAACCAACAAGATAATGCAAGGATATCACAAGTTATGCCTCTTTCGATTACATGAACATGTAAATATATATGCAATTATTAAAACATCCAAAACAATTCAATGCATAAAAACTAGAGTTATAATCCGCAAACAAATATTAATACACCAAATCCATCAAACCCTAAAGGGAACTACTCCATAGATGTGGAGTAATTCATCACAAATATGTTTAAAGTAAAGAAAAATATAAAACGATCCAAACTCGGGTCTTGAGTGAGGATTGAATGATGAATTCCTTGTGCTTTTGCTTCTCCAACTCCTCCTTAGAATCCTTAGGTCTAATATGTGTCCAAAGTCCTTAAAATAACGTTTTCCCATTTATTTATACCAAGTAGGGTCGGGCCTAGACGAAAACACCTTCTCCTGCACAAAATAGGACAAATAATCTGGAAACATTGCACAAGCGCACCGCATGGGGCGACGCACCATGCGGGGAATTAGTGGGGATTTCCAGAGAGTGGTTTCTGACGGGCAACAGACATTTTACACATGCGTGGCGCGACGCGCTAGTGTTGTTTTCTCAGAGTACGGATTTTTCTTGACTTTTTGATATCCGGACGTGGTTTTCGACCCCCCGAACGCGATCCCGGCTTAATACCTTGGACTTTTACTCAGACTTCAAAGCACCAGATAGCTTGAATTCATTCCATAGCATCTACATAACTCGGAATCACTCCTACAAGGCATAAACACACAATTAATGCAAAACACTAGCGATTAAAGCTCAAATTCAATTAAAGTACAGTAAATTAGAATGCATTAAGCGACTAAACACGAGATTATAGCCTACCATCAACACCCCAAACTTAAACCATTGCTCGTCCTCGAGCAATCAAACTACACTTTATAAAGACACGACTTTTTTAAACAACTCTCCTAACTCATCACACAAAGAATAATTAACATATACTAAGCACAATAGTGTAACATCCTAGCCTCAAGAATTGACTCACAAGCACCATGAATTATTTATAACCCGCTCACTTACTCCAACATAGAGGTTAAGCATTACCTTTAATTCGCGAATCAAGTTCCCTCACACAATGTAACGACCCGACCGGTTGTTTTGAGCTCTAGTGCGTTATTCAGTGATTTGAGGCCCTGAGCAGCTTCACTTTGGGTATTATGACTTGTACGTATGGTCAAAATTGAAATTCGAGAAGTTCGGAGTTAATTTGGAGAGAAAATTCTAATTTCGGAAGCCTTAAGTTGGGGGAATTGACTAAAGTGTGATTTTTGAGTAGACGATCTCGGAATCACAATTTGAAGGTTCCATCAGGTTCGTATGATGATTTTGGACTTAGGCGTATGCCCGGAGCGGGTTTTGGATGACCCGGGAGCGTTTCAACGCCTATTATTGAAGTTGGCATTTTTGGAAGAATTTCCTAAATTTGGGTTGAAGTATATTTCAATGTTATTTATGTTCGTTTGGGATTCCGAGTCTGGAAATAGCTCCGTATGGTGATTCTGGTATTGAGAGCGCGTCCGGATGTGGATTTGGAGGTCCGTATGTCATTTGGCGAAAGTTAAAAATTTGAAGGTTTTTGAGAAGTTTGACCGGGAGTGGACTTTTTGATATCGGGGGTCGAATTCCGATTCTGGAAGTTGGAGTAGGTCCATAATATCGAATGTGACTTGTATGCAAAATTTGAGGTCAATCGGACGTGATTTGATAGGTTTCGGCATCGATTGTAGAAGTTTGAAGTTTCAAAGTTCATTAAGCTTGAATTGGGGTGCGATTCATAATTTCGATGTTGTTTGATGTGATTTGAGGCCTCCAGCAGGTCCATGTTATGTTATTGGACTGGTTGGTGTGATTGGACGGGGTCCCGGGGGCTTCGGGTAAGTTTCAGATGCTTAACGGATTGATTTTTGGACTAAGGAAAATGCTAAGGCAGCTGGTATCTGGTGTAACCGCACCTGCGAGGTTTTGGCCGCAGGTGCGGATTCGTAGAAGTAGCCAAGAGGGTCGCAGAAGAGATTCTGGCTGGGGAAGGCTGGGATCGCAGATGCGGTCAAGTTTCGCAAAAACGGAACCACACCTGCGCAGGAAGAGCCGCAGAAGTAGAGGCGCTGCCAGGCCGCAGATGCGGAAAATATTGGGCTGAGCTTGAACCGCACCTGCGATGGAATTTTTGCAGGTGCGGAGCCGCAGAAGCGGCTATTGCACCGCAGGTGCGAGGATCGCTAGGCAGTGAGGTTTTATAAAATGTGGTTTTGGCTCATTTTCATTTCATTTCGTCCATGGGAGCCGATTTTGGAGCACTTTTGGAGTGCCATCTTCATCAACTATAATAGGGTAAGTGATTTCTTCACATTATGAGTTAAATACATGGTTTTTACATGGATTCAAGCATGAAAATTTGTAGAAATTTGGGATTTTGAAGAAAAACCTAGAAATTGGTATTCTTGGATTTTGATCAAGAATTTGGGCATGAAATTGAAAATAAGTTATCTATTGGAGTTCGTAGTGCTATGGGTAGTGTTTGTCTTCGTAAATTTTTGGAATTCGGGCACGTGGGCCTAAGGGTTGCTTTATCAATTTTTCGAGCAGAGTTGGAAGTTGTTATAAATTGATTAATTATGAATATTAGAGTATATTTTGATTTGGCTGCATCTTATTTGACTAGTTTTGGATCGGCGGGCATCAATTTGAGCTGTTAGAGATGCTTTGGAGCGGGTATGAAATTTCGGAGCGAGGTAAGTCTCCTGTCTAACTCTATGAGGGGAAAAATACCCCTAAGTGTTGTATATTGATGTGTGCTATTTGTTGTGGGGGCTACGTACACGCGAGGTGACGAGAGCCCGTACGTAGCTACATTCATGTTATTGTCCAGGTAGGCTTAGGTTCACATCATGCTATAGCTGTATTATTTGAGCAGTCTCTCGCCTATTAAATTCCTCTGTTTTACATTACTACTTGAGACTAGACTTGTTATTGTAGAGACTTCACGAGTTCATGATTAGTCACCGAATAATTCTACTCATCTTACGGCATATTTTCGTGATATATATACTTCAACAACAACAACAACCCCCCAATATAATCCCACTAGTGGGGTTTGGGGAGGGTAGTGCGTACGCAGACCTTATCCCTACCCTGGGGTAGAGAGGCTGTTTCCTATAGACCCTCGGCTCCCTCCCTCCAAGAACTCCACACCTTGCTCTTGGGGTGACTTGAACTCACAACCTCTTGGTTGGAAGTGGAGGGTGCTCACCACTATACTTCATTGAAAGGTTTTTGTTAAAGAAATTACAACTCACACGTTTATTCGTGAGTGGGGTCAAGGGCCCGTCAAAGCTTCTTACTCTTATAGGATCGGGTCGTTCGCCTAGGCAGGAAATTGTATTTCACTCTTATGGGATAGGGCCGTTCGCCTCGGCAGGAAATTGTATTTCACTCTTATAGGATCGGGCTGTTCGCCTCGACATGGATTTGTATTTCACTCTTATGGTATCAGGACGTTCGCCTCAGCAGGATTTATGTACCACACTCTCATGGGAACGGGCCATTCGCCTCAGCAGTTTAATAGATGTATCTATAGTTCGGGCCATTCGAACCTCGACAGT